AAAAAAAAAAAAAAGACAACAGAGAAAAATCTGGTTACAGAGTGGGGGGGGGAAGAGGGAGGAAATCAATTATCTTACACTCCTGCTTGCCTGACTCAGCCTCACTGTGCCTCCCCTGCCCTTCCTGCTCAGGACAGTTTTCTCACATCTCATTGGAATAGGTGTAGTTTGGGGTGGCAGAATATTGCGATTCATGCTGCATCACAGCCCCCTGCGCAGCACCAACTGCTGCATTCTGAGCTGCCTGTTGTACGTGCGGGTTCTTCCAGGCTCCTGTGGTCCACTCCTCCTGGGCTTTGCTGAAGCTCCCTCCACTCCCCCGGTAAAATTTATGCACCTGTGTTGAGAGCAGGAGATTTAGAAAAAAAAAAAAGAGGATGTACAAGCTGAAAACTGGGAGATCACTTTTGTAATTTTTTGGATAACCCCGATTCGCCTAACCCACAGAACCCAATGCAAAGCGTCTCAATCCCGAAAGCACCTCCAGCTCCCACTGACAGCTACAAGTATACTCTCCCCACAGGATTCAGGCCTAAATCTGGAAGGCCCTGGGGATAGCCCTGAAGAATGGGATGCTGGGACTGTTAGTACAACAGTAACTGCAGTGGCTCGACCCTCAAATGCATTCCCTTTCAAGAACAAAAGCAGTCTGTGCTCCACCTCCATTTCATTGTTGCTCTTTCTATCAACTACTAACAAAAGAAGCAGATTTACCCATTGGCATGGTAGCTTGTGATGCAGGTACCTATCCCCTGGACTGAAAGGAATCTTCTGGTCTTGTCCCATGTGTTTGCAGGTGATCATTAACCAAAAGAATCCCCAAAACTGCTGCTTTGAACCCTCCATCAGAACCACCACTCACTTCATCAGCAGTCACCAGAAGGTTAGGTACTTTAGTTACTGCTCATTCAGGCCAGAGCAGAACCAGTTAAGTCTCTCCTACTAAGGCTATTCCACAGACTAATAAGGGAGATTAGACTGCAGACAACATTATTTTTACTCATACCCCATTCGTTTTCTAATCTCATGATTCCAGAACGGGCCCCACACCCCAGAAAATACACATTTGTGTTTCTGAGGGAAATGGAAGCAGTAATTAAGACTAAGGCATCCATATATAGGTGGGGGAAATGGGTAAAAAAGAGGGGGGAGGGGGAAGCTGTAAAGAGTCAACAGTTCCTAGCACTAACACACAAAGTACATCAAAGAACGAGTCACAGGGACTGGACCTCTCAGTGGGCATGAGCAGGGGTTCCCAATCTTTTTAGATCACGGACTAGCAAACCATGGACCAGAAGTGACCACAAACTGGTCCGTGGACCAGAAGTAACTGTGGACCGCAAACTGAGGACTGGTAAACTGCAGTCCAGAAGTGACCAGCATACTGCAGAGCAGCAACCAACCCCCCCCCCCCCC